CAAAATAAACAAAAATCCTGCCGTTATGTTTGACGAAACTCCTTGAACATGGAAATTGGAAGAACCATTCGCGACGAATAACGGATTCTAGCTTAACGAGACAAGTTTTACGGTAGAATGGTTTTGTGATCGAATGAATCGAGGCCCACCACAAGGAAGACAGAAAACGGGATTCAGTATTCCTGTTTTTTCCTTACTCATGGCGAATCAATTGAAAAAGGTTAGGAGATAAAACACACAAATCTCGTGTCACTTTAAAAAAAAGACCAAAAAAATAATTTTTAATAACTCGGGCTAACTTTTCTACACAGTCTGTTAAAATCAAAGTATTATTAAGCGAGATATTAACGAAGAGAGAGCCGATGTTGAGTGGTCTATTTGAAAAGTAGCGAGAGAAATGTTATTTTTAATAGCATGTGAAGGAATGAACATAATGAGGAAAAGTAACAAGTGATGTTTTGAAGTAAATGAAATTCAGGTTCCATCCTTCTGGTAACATATATATTAGGGTGGTTCAAAATATTGTTTTTTTTTCACCAAGACGATTTCAAGTCAGGTCCTGATAATTCTCTCAATATTTGAGCCCATTTGGATGCGAACTCATACTGCACTGGTCCATTGAAGTTTGTATGGGAATTAGTATGGTAAAATTATTTTTTTTTCCTTTATTATAGAGATTTTTAGCCATAGGCTAGTTCATCTCTTAACAACTTTGCTGAAGACCGCATTTAAATTGCAAGTCCAGATAACACTCGTTTACAAATAAAATTAAAAAACAAATGAATTCATGATCCTTATGTAACATTGTGCGCTGAATCTAAAAATCTAGTCAAAACAAAATCTCAGTAGGATAGTTTTCTAAATACAGCTTAAAAACGATAATTCACTTAAAAAAAATTGTTTTCTAAGTACAAATATCTCCGGCTGTAATAAAGCAATATTACTTATATTTTTATTAATTAAAGGTGAGACAATCTGCTTTCGATCAACTGGACATCATTTTTCAGTTAGTTTGTTGGCTGATGGAATTTTTTTATTAGCGACGAAATAAGCCAAAGGGTCTCACAATTTTATTAAATGTTACCAGGTAGAGTTTATGGTGATATAAAGAAAAAAAAATTCGGGGCAATTCCCGTAAAATTTTAATTTAAGTTTTTGGAATTTCCCGAACATCACGTAATTTTAAAAATCATAACAGGAAATTGATTTTTTTTTTTTTCCTTTGGTTTGTTTTTTCCGTCGATCTTGTTTTCCGTGCTGAGCACCAATGCTACCGACGTGCCAGGAAGGCAGCTCCCACACCTGGACCCTACCTATCGACCCATCAACTCATGAACCGGGGACCAACGGCTTTACTTCCCATCCGAAGGAAGGCGTGATCAGAGATGTTATGCCTCAAGAACATCCCGGCAACGCCGACTGGGATTGAACCCAGGCCTACTGGGGTGAGAGGTAATCACGCTTACCACTACACCACCGGCGCCGTTAATGTTGAACTTTTTGTTAGTACGCTTTTTTGTTAAATATATATGTTCACAGAAAATGATTTAAAACGTTTCAAACAGTGTTTTCTAAGTATAAATTACATGAAAAAAATGTTTTTGTAAATTTTTAAGTGTCCATAATTTTGAACATTCGAAAAGTTTGCATTTTTGATAATCTTTAAAAAAAATTGGGTTGTACATTTTGAGATGATACATTTACATTTACAAATTTACTTGAAATTAATAAAAAAAAATATGTTTATTTTTACCAGAACAACATTATTTTTCTCTACACCTTTGTCTGAGACGTCATTCCGATCAGAAGTGCCGTTTCCATGCCACATTTTTTTTTTAAATTTCGAAGGCGCCATTTAAAAACAAATCAAAAAGCACTATTTTGATGTTTTTTTTTGTTTGCTAAAATATGAATTATTGCCCAAAACAAACAATTCTGCAAAGTTTCATGCAAATCAGAGAAGCTCAAATTTTTCAGATTCGTCATTTGGCGTAGAACTGCTTGTCTGACAACGATGAACGAGAATAGAACAACCCGCGGGGCGGATGCAAACTCGTTGCAGACAGCATAAAATGAGACCGAAGGCATTGCGATGAATGCTTCAAATCTTCATCAAAGGAGGGAACACAAGCTTGTTTTAAAAATTATTATCATGTTCCAATTGTTGTCTACATGCCAAACTTATTTCTCAGTTTGTAATAAATAAATTGATTTTTTCTTGTGTAATAATTATAACTATTCACACCCCTGGGCTGTAATAAAACGCTTGTTGCCGACCTTTCCTGACGCTAGATAGTGTTAAATTTTTGTCCATAGCGTGTTGAATGGAAAAGTGTGTATTGGACTATATTGTTAATGTAGTATATTTGAAATTAAGGAAAAAAAATCCTGGTTAATCAACCTACCGGTTGCAAGTGTCTTTCTCGTATAACATTATATAGCTGTACTTCTATCGCAAGCGCACCTCAATGCTAGACACTATATATGTACTGGTTTCCCAGGGGTCTGGGTGAAACGAAATGATTAAATAGGAAAATTTATTTGCACTTGGAGGTAAATTATTAAGTACTTTTTTCCAATGTTGCTTTTCAACACAAAAAAAAAAACCGGTAGGAGGATTATCAGAGTTTTTGTTCATATTTCCGGAAGCAAATGTACGATCGGGATAAAATTCAATAAGGTTTTATAGGAGATATATACAAACAAAAATTACCCTCGCCAAATAACACCTCCCCCCTGCAGTGATAGATTTCGAAATTCATTAATCGTAATCCTCCAATGAAACGAATTTTACTTTTGCTTGTATCTATAAGTGAGTTCAAGTATTGAATCTTTTGATCAATTCATTATGAGATAATCTTGAAGCGAGTGGCAACGATAAGGATAGATTTAACATATGTGTGTTTCTCGCAATATATTAAATTTCTATCGGACGTAGTCTGCTGAACTTGGTTCACGAAATTATCATAAATCAAACCTGGTCGAGTGGTATACATATGAAGATGTATACACGAGTGCATCGCAACGCTATATAACCAATATATTAACGGTGATGTTGAGATTGATGCTGATAGAAGCCATAGAATAGATGCAGGCACTGTGCATCACTTGATGCAGCTGTGTGTCAATTATGGATTGAGGCAAGTTTAATTATACTACTAAACTACACCACACACTATCAATACGTACCTACTTTATCTGAAAAATCTTGAACGATGAACATTGAACATTGAAAAACTCACACATTGCTGATTATAAATCAATACAATTAAAAAATAATCAATATTATTCTGTTACGATATAAGGGAACATTAATAAATGACGTGGCATTTAGGGGAAGGGGGAGTCTGCGGAAGCTGTGATAAGGTAAAACAAAAAACGCTACGGGGAGGAAGAGGAGGGCTGAAAATGGTTAAACCTATCAACGATCGTAAAAAAATTTAATTTATTAACCTATGGTGCGATCTTACACTACTTACTTCAAATTCAAAAATGTTCAACTGTGCTGATTGGGATAGGGTGGTGTCAAATCCCACCGGTTGCCAGATTATTTTCACAGAATGTTTCTCAAGTCACACTTCCATATGATTGTGCATCATTCTATGGGCTTCTTAGTACGCTCTTCCAAAAACTAAAAATAAAAAAAGACTTTAAGAGAAGAGAAAATGTTCAACTTTCACTCAAATTCGCAGGTTACTTGATCATTGCTCAATATAGCCCATACCTGAGACTTCGAAAACTTTTTGCACAGAAGTCGAATTGATTTGCGGTCTTCGACAAAATTGATCTTCATAGTTTACTAAATCTATGTCTTAGGTATGGGCAATATTGAGTAATGTGTGAAATTTTGTCAAGCAAATGAGAATGAACTAATGCTTCCCTTACATGTTCCTATACAAACTTTAAATCCAGATTCATTTAAATTTGGCACAGTTGTTGGAGACTTCAATACACATCGGAAGAGTATTTGGGTGCAGGGAGTTGTGACCTATATGGCCGGTTACACTTGACACACCATGATCAGATTTAAGTTATTTACGGTTTTCTAGTAGTTGTATAGTAAAATATAGTAAAGACAAGGGCATTTGAAATGAACGGTTGCAGACAGACAAACCGTCTTATTAGCGTCTTGTACATGGTACGCTTAGTATGGCAGTCCTTTACCAGACCTCAAGGTCTTACGGAGTCCTTAGTAAGCACGACTTCCGGCAATAATACGTCTCCGAATTTCTCTGCTACAATTGTTATCCCACGTCACCAACGATCCGAACTCATCTACATCGATTGTCACACTTTTGCCTATGCAAGCTCTATCGCGGTTGGTACTTCCACCCAAAGATACTTAACACCAACACAAGCGAAAAGAAAAACCAACCGACCAACTAACGAGTCGCCTCAGTAATACAGCGACCCGAACCAAATTATTATCCAAGAGTTTTCACATTGAATACAATATTAATTAAATGGAACTTAAAACGCGATCTTCGCTTGGCAGGTACAAGTTGAAAAATACTCGGAAAACCCACAAAATCAGCGACAGCTAAAACTAAACCAACCAGAGCCTACTGCGCACTCAATACAGAAGTATAAAAACTGCAGCTACATAAAACCTGGGTCTGGCGAAGTCAGCCCAGACCAATGTTAAACTGCCCATTGATCTCCTAGCAATAAATAACTGGTTCGATTGATTAGTTCGAAAATGATTACGTCTTCGCCAAAGCTAGAATAAAACCATCTAAAATCTGAACCGGAAGCACCAGTCCAGAGCCAAAACAATCCACGAGGTACGTATCGAAGGCATCTTTTTTAAAATAACACGCGCGTTCTGAAGCACTGCGCAAGTCTCTATTCCCTTCACCCGAATCAATCCGAAATCAACTAATGTAGCTGTTTCACACCGAACAGTACTATGCCGGACCTTCTTCCGACGACGATTCACGGTGGCTGTGCAGTGCATCTGAGACGTTAGTGGGTGGACTCTTTAACACAGCGAGGATCAGTTGGTCCGGAACTGTGCCCGCAACTAGTCACATTCGAAGTTTTGCTCCCGCTTTCTTCCGAAAGAAAGATTTCTGAGTGTTGGCTTGGATAAACCGTTAAAACGATTGTCGCTAGAAAAAAGAAAATCAACATCGCAGAAACGTCGTTAGCTAGCGTTGTATGATCTTGGATAGATGCAATCATTTTGTCATTCCCTGGAATAGGACAAGTGAAAGGAAAGAAGATAAGTTGAGCAGAATGAACTTCTGACTTGACTGAAAAAAAAGACGCCAACCGAGAATAATTTGCAAGCTGGTTATTGGAGTAAATAAAGTTAATATGAATTATACGGAAGCGAATCTCTGCCAATATTGAAACAAGCAGGAAAATGTGATTAAAGTGGTGCTAAATATAAGACCTATGTAAACAAAAGGGAACTGCATTATAAATTTAGTGATTGTTGAATAAAAGCGCATACAATAGAATGGATCCTCGTTAATAGTTGAAACTTTCCACTTTATCACCAAGGGGATACCTAAAGTGAATGGAAGCACAATACATGAAATTATGCTCTTTTGCTACACTCCCACTACGCGGTGCATAAAAACATATTAGTGTAAATTATCTGTTCATTCAACGCTTCTCCTCGGCGACGACGTGCTAGCAAAAGGAGGTGGAACATAGCTCTACTGATGAGAAATAGAGAGAAATCCTTTGCAACCAACAAAAAGCCACCAACGAAAGGATTACTCGGAAGCTGATTCTTCCTTCTAACGCGGTTCTTGGAGGACGGGCTGCGGTGTCACCGACTAGGGACGGTTCCGTAATTTAGACTTTTTGTTTGTCCCTCATTTCAACGGATGGTGCTACTGCTTACTTTCTGATGGTAGACGAGTGAGAATTAATCCCTCATTTCGGTACGAATGTTCCGCTGAATCATACAAAAACCGACACAACAGGAACGAAACTGTGTGGATGTGTGTTCTACTTGTTGCTTGAAGAAGTGCCGACCACTGGAATGTAGGTGAAAACATACCGCTGTGGGATCACACAAGTAAGGAAACAGTGTGATAGTACCAAGTGAATATGAAAAGTTAACAATTGTCGACGGAACGAAGGAACAGGATACCTTAAGGTGTTTCATATAACAGAAGGATTTTATAAACACACAGAAAATTCAAGGACGAGAAAAAATGCTGCCAGTCGTAGACGACTACGAGTGAGCTGCCAGAAGCTTCCAACTATGAGAAAAGTAAATATAAAAAGCGAAAACGCTCTCTATCTATATAAATAGCCATATTTCTTTGGAATCTGAGAATTTCATACACACAGTTTGGCAGACTTGTATTTGTATAACACAGTGTAAATGCTCGTAAAATTAATAACAGAAAACCTATGCGTAATTTGAAGTTTGGGGAGCCTCCGTTAGCCTAGTCGGTAAAGGTGCATCTATATATAGCATAACCATACTCGAGGCTGGTTTTAGAGTATTAAAATGAACGCAAAATGAAAATAAGTTTTGCTTTCAACATCAAAATGAAATCAAAATCTGATTCCAGTTAATGATTACACTAGTTTACAAATAAAAGGTAAAAAATGAACTTGAATCTTTGACTAATGATTCTTATGTAAAATTGTGCGCTGAATCCAAAAATGTAGGCAAAAAAATCTCAGTAGGATAGTTTTCGAGATACAGCTAAAACATTAAAATTTACTTTAAAATACAAATATCTCCGGTTGTAATGAAACCATATCAGTTATTTTAACAAAAAATTAAAGGTACGAAATTTTTCTTTCAATCAACCCATTATTAATTGTCAGCGAGATTAGTAGTATTGTTGTTAATTAATAGTTTGTTTATTTTTATTTTATATTTTGCATTTTTCCAGAAAAAATCAATATCTGCTAAGTTTTAGGCAGTGTAAATAAAATTGATTGTAGTGGTTGTACCACTAGTTTTTTTTTCCCTTTGGTTTGTTTTTTTCCGTCGATCTTGTTTTCCGTGCTGAGCACCAATGCTACCGACGTGCCAGGAAGGCAGCTCTCCCACACCTGGACCTTACCTATCGACCCATCAACGCATGAACCGGGGACCAACGGCTTTACTTCCCATCCGAAGGCGTGATCAGAGATGTTATGCCTCAGAACATCCCGGCGGCGCCGACTGGGTTTGAACCCAGGCCTGCTGGGGTGAGAGGTAATCACGCTTACCACTACACCACCGGCGCCGTTATTGTACCACTAATCTCACTGAAAAATTGTGTTCAAACAATTGAAAGCTAATTTTATCATCTTTAATTTGGAGTTAAAATAATTATTATAACTTCATTACAATCGGAGATGTTTTAATTATTTTTTTTAAGTGAAATTTAATTTTTTAGCTATATCTCAAAAACTATCCTACTGAAGATCGAAGTAGGCCGCGCTGCGAAAATGACGTGTTTTTGTTTTGCTGCGTCGTTTTCGTTCTAGTGAAAATGTTATAAATTTACAATTTTCATTTTAAAAAAGTGTTAATTTGAAAGTACAGAGGTGATGTTGAAAAGTGCATTAAGTGAAAATTCTATCCGTTGCCTGTGGTGCCGACTGTTCTAATCTATGCTCAGCTAAGTTTATTTACCCTTTCGTTCCTCTGTCCTCGATAGGAAATATCCATCTAATTCAAGACGATTATTTCAAAACTTACTAAAAACGTGTCAATCAAGTATTGCACTACTGCTTGATTGAAAGTTTCAGTACATTATCAATGGTGTATATTTGCATCGATAATGTATTGGAGCGGCTTTTCATGCGTGAAAATAGCTTCGGAATGAGCTGCGGTAGAGCTGTCACCTTCTAACTCCCGGGTTCAAGCTTCTTTGCATTCATAAGAAATGATTGCAGGCAGATTTTATCCACAATGCCACTGCCAGATAGTTGGAGTTAGGCAAAGGGCGAATCTTCATTCTAATCTACGATTCCACATACTATTAATAACCTTTTACACATCAGAATGAATTGTGCATATGTTTAGGTTCAACAAACATTTTCAGGCGCAAAGGAGCAACAGGATCGAGCTGATAACGTTTCTTAATTCCAAAATCTGAAGACTGTTTTGAATAATATGTTTAGGTAATGGGCAGCAACAACGAACAGACAAACTATTTACAGCTTCTTTTTATTAAATGCTTGATATAACGATTGCCGGCTGGGCGTATCCTATAACCACTCTCCCTGCTAACAAAAATCCGCCCTTCCTGTGACACTTATGAGGGGTCGTAGAGTTCTCTGCATCTCTCTTAAGCAAGTGTCGGACTAACATTCCTCCCCTTTCCCCATCAGATGCAAGGACGTGGCCAGGACAGCACTGGTCTGTTGGAGGGAGACACAGCCTTTATCTAAGAGGAGGTAGGTCTCCTTCTTAACAACAGTTTGGAGCTCGTACCACCTACGACATTGTGCAACCTGGTTTATGCTATGCTATGCTATGCTATGCTATCTCGAAAACTATCCTACTGAAATTTTTGTGGACTACATTTTTGGATTCTGCGCATGATTTTACACGATAAATGACCATTAGCGTACACAGTTCAAATATGCTGTAAACTAGAGTTATTAAATAATATTGTTTTCATTTTGCTGTAATTTTCTAACTGGAACATCTCCCCATTTTTGCCCTCATTCACGTATAAAAAAGTCTTCATTTGATATTTACTGAGGAACATTTTACACACAATTTTGTTATTTTGACCGTTGAAACGATCAAAATGAGCGCAACCTGAGTAATAAACAACATATACTGAGAATGTAAGTGTAAGTTTCTCATATCCCTTGTATTTGTTTCTTACGGGAAATGCAATGATAGTTGTAATTACAACAGACTATAGTGAACAAGCAACTTTTCTAAAATAAACATTATCGATAAAAAAAATCTTTACAAGAAGTTTTTGCTATGTTAAATGTGTTGGTTTCCACTATCAGTTTTGATCTTAAATCTACTTTCCTATAGGCGAGAAGTTGAGCGGAAATAAAGATGTTTGAATGCACCTTTTTTTTTTAAATTTAAAAAATTTAAAATCCCCAAAATATATAAAATTATCAATGCTTAATTTTATAAAATTGTTTGATAAGTCTTCCGACAGCTAAATTAATGCCTACGGCTGAAAATCTATATAATAAAGATAACCATAACCATTCATTGTAAGCCATTACAGATTATGTATACCGGAGCATTGAATATCGCTCTTTTTTGTGCATAGATCTTCCCCTTCCCCAAAGAATGATGAGTGAAAATCTACTGGATGAATAATATCAGCACTAAAAGCTGGGTATACACACATTTAGAAATATGCAACTAATTTTACACGAGTCCGAATTCATCATACTTGCAGTTATCAAAAGGTGCTGTTTCAATGCACAAAAATACACACTTAGATTTTTTAGCCGAATAGCTCGGTTTTTTTTGACGAGATTCGCACAGCCTCGACAATGATTTCGACATACAATGTTTTGCTGATAATCTCAGTTAGAAAATGACAGCTGGTGCGTTTTGCTGCAAATCTCGGTATGGGCAAACTAAAATCTCGGCTCAATTAAACTAAAATATCGGCAACAAATGTAAACAATCTCTTATGAACTTTACCGGAAGTTCAGTTAAAGTTAATAAATTCTAATAAATTGAATAGTAAAATTTCAATCAGTCAATATTTATTTATTTGCGCAATATGCTTTTTTTAAATACTCAAAATGATCACATCTGGACCTACATTTAGGAACCAGACAGTGTAAATTGTATGTTCTGGATATGATTATTCATATGCCGATGCAGTTCGTCGACATGGCCCACAAATTTTGCATGGCAGAAGAAGTAAGTTGAGCTAGATGCAATTGGCTGAAATTGAATATAAACACGTATTTTAATTATACCCACGAACGATTTTGAACAATCTTACATCTTCCTGCTGGAGTGCTCCGAGTATGCGGCCCATTGTCACAAGCACTTCCACTGTACGCAACAAGCGAAGATTTTCTAATGAATGGAATATAATAGCGGATGAAAGCAAGAATTCCGAATCTCCGTAAACAAGCAATGGTAAAACGAAATCTCGCCATATCTCATTACCGAGGTCAGCAAAAATAGTTTTTTGCTTTGGTTCTCGACATCGGCGGTGTTGTCGAATTTCGGGAAAAAATATGAAATAAGCCGAAATTTCAGTTTGCAGTACATAGTGCTAAATCACTGTTTAAATAATGTTTTTGCTGAATTCTCAGTAAATTATATTTATGCCGTGCTACCTCGGTTATATGTATTGCTGAGCTCGAGAATTAATTTAAGTGTGCACTTTAAATTATACAAATAAATTTACTGCTCACTTAAAATTGTGATCTGCAATTAAGAAATTATTTATGAGACGAATTTAGTACATTTCAAAAAGGGAACCCAAGCAAAGTCTGAGATCAAATTGGTAACTTAATTTGATGTTGTGATGTCGCTGATAATAATTATTCAGGTTGCTGTTGGGTTGTTTACATTTAAAATATTAAAGTTGAGATAAACTAAATCTTCATGTGGCATTCAAATGAAAACTAATTCTGCTATCAGTGAGAGCAAACTGAAAACTCAATTTGATGTACATTTATCCTGTTGAAAGCAGAACAAGTACGTAATTTTATATTCTGCAAAGGCAATGAAAACAGAACTGCAACAAAATATTTTTGAAAAGCAAATGTACAGCAAATTGAAAATAAAATTGATATCAAATTTGTTAATAGCGAAAACTGATATCAAGTTATGATTTCTGTTTGATGTTAATATCAAATTTGATTTCGATTTGCTGTTTTTTTTCCTTGGATTTGTTTTCCGTCGATCTTGTTTTCCGTGCTGAGCACCAATGCTACCGACGCCAGGAAAGGCAGCTCCCACACCTGGACCCTATCTATCGACCCATCAACTCATGAACCGGGGACCAACGGCTTTACTTCCCTTCCTAAGGAAGGCGTGATCAGAGATGTTATGCCTCAGAACATCCCGGCGGCGCCGACTGGGATTGAACCCAGGCCTGCTGGGGTGAGAGGTAATCACGCTTACCACTACACCACCGGCGCCGCTTTCGATTTGCTGTTGTTTTTTGTTTGTTTGTTTCTGTTTAAAAAAGAATAGAAAGCACATTCGTCTCATAAATAATGTATCATTTGCGGATCGCAATTTTAAGTGAGCACTGAATGTATTTGTCTAATTTAAGTTGCGATGTATGGCTGAATTATACACTTGCT